CATAAAAAGTCTTTGGTGAGGATCATACACTTTTGAGCGATTGAGTGAATCATTTGAGGAACTTGCTTTTTATTTGTGAAACTCTTAAAACCTTCGAAAAGAAAGTCGACCAAGAAATGAATGACTAGCAGTTCTGTGAAACTATTCTATCTTGCAACCACCTAAGACTTGGAGAAGGCCAAAGAGCCCCGCAGGTAACGAGATAATAAAGGGTGGATAGAATGCCAATTTATTCAAATCAAGGAAGAACACTTTGTTATATGCATGGCACTTTTGAAATGTAATCGCCATAGTAGCAACTCCTGATCAACAACCAATATCTTAGCTTTTGCTCGAGGAGGAGCAAAGGGTAAGCTTGGGGGATTTTGTTGGCGGTTCTTATCGACATCATCCTACCGCCAACTTAATTCCAAAAGGGGGAAAACTAACATGTTTTACACGCATATGCCTTTGATATTGACATAGTTCCACTTGTATTGCAAGACTCCTATTTTGCAGCAGTTATACTTGGATATGATCGAAACGCGCCTTCAAACAAAGCGTAAAGCAGAATCCGTGCAAAGGAATAGGGAGAAGCCCACCTTCACGACAAAACCTGGGCCGAGCACCGACGTGGGAGGGGCTCGGGCATAGCCCCCAGCCCACCTGGCAAAGGCGGTGGCCAGGCAAGCCATCCAGGGTGCGGCCGCACCCCAGGCGGCGTAGCCTAGGCCCATCCTCTGCAGGTCGTTGCATGGCGACATGCTGAGGCGGTATAGGGTAGTTTCCTAATTTACTAGGGCCAAACCAACCTCCATGCTTGTATAAAAAGAGGGGTGGAGCTCTCTTCCAATACACACCACACTTGTGCTCTCTCTCCCTCCACACTTGTACTCTTTTACTATTTTTAGTAGTGTTTGGAGCAAGGCAAGCTTCATTGGAGAGCTTGAACCTCTAGGGGCAAACTTGGTATGAATAATATGAAGAGCTCCCTTATGTTCTTGTTCTCATTTTATCTATATAGCTATGTTTTGAAATTAGAGCAAAGTTCTTATGTTATTCATTTAGCATATGAAACTTTATGCTTAATCTTTCATACATACATGTTTAGACCAAGACCTAAATTTAGGTAGTAGGTTCTACTTTAAGATTAGTTTTGGTCATTCTACTCTTGCTGGTTCATCGTCCGTCCCTGAGGCGGATGCTCTAGTAAGAGAACTCCTGATAAAGATGGAAGTTCTTGGGCACCGCTAGAGTAGTAATCGATAGCATAGATGTGGTGTCTATGTTAGAAGTTACCTTCATTTGCCTCGTATCCTCTGATTGAGGGGTAGGCGGCAGGTGGTGATAGCCCTGTCCATCCTTCGTAATCCCCCACATTCGGATATGGCGTAGAGCTGTAGACCAGCATCGACTAGCAGACCATTTGCAATCCGGTGCCTGAAGTAAGTTTATATTGACCAAAGCTATCTTAACTTAGAATCTCTAACCCTAGAAACTCATGTATTTGTATGACTATCTGCTTAGCATAGCTATATAAAATAAGCCTGCTCCAGTTTAGGTATATTCTTTTATTCTTTATGCTTTATTTAATCTTTATCCTTGAGATTGGCTTGAGTGTGTGTGTCACACTATCCAACATTTATCCTGGCTTACCCCTGTTATAATCTTTGGTCTATTATACAGTCATGTTATATTGACCATGTCCCTACTAGAGATTTTTACACCATGCCTTCCTTTGGGAAAATATAAATGAACGATACCCGAATACTTCCGGGTGAAATGCTACAACGATATATTCGTGCACTTGCGGAATATTTCTACATGTGTTCAGAAATATCGTCAAGGTGTTTCTGGTGCTATTGCTAGGAAACACCAATCCTAGTGATTGCGCTAAGAAATGCCAACACCCAGCACCATCTTAGTGAGGTGCTTTATCTCACGTCTGCGTAGCCAAGGCAAATACTACAACACTTAAAAATGGAGTAACAAGGATCACAACTATTCAATTATTAATTGTTTTTAAGGAAAAAACTATATACAAATGTCATAGTAACAAGCATCACAGCCACATGAGGAAAATTTTCATTGATAACTTCAATTACATTCCACAAGTTATACAATAACAAAGACCTATCGAAGACTACTGGGTGTACAATAACAAAGACCTGTCGAGTACAGGTACAGCCCATAGTCAAGTTTGAATCCCAATAGAAGATCTACGGTCATCAAGGTGGTCTCCTGTTGAGCACCCTGATGGCCTACTAGGCCATAGATAGGCAGTGCAAGCTAAGAATGAGGCAACACCTCACAAAACTTCCACCAGCATCTCAGTGAGGTGCTTTACCTTCCCTGTTGCATCTCTCACGGTAGAGAGGCCAACAGAGGTGTGGACGAGAAGCGCTGCCATCATCGCTACTGCTCTAGAGGAAGGAGGATCGGTAGCAGCAGGGTTGTGTAGGGTAGAAAGGTGGCAACTATACATACCGACATCACCTTCCTAGTGGCCCTACGCTCATCGAAGCCATCATAGGAGCCACCACCAGAACCCCAGCAGCCCCAATGATGAAGCCCAGCCATGCCAAACCACGGATACCAAAGCGACCCCCCCTTAATCGCAAAACTTCCACTAGCACCTAGATCGAGCAGCCCTCATTGCGCCTTGATGTAGGATGTACCCAATCTTGAAGGCCTTCTGCTAACACTGTTGTAGCCGCCAGAGGAATTGGAGAAGGAGCGCCATGGTGATGAAGAAAAAAAAGATGGTTGGCTCAAGAGCTTTGTTGATTTGTATCCATTCTAAAAGCGATTGAAGGAGGAAGATTGTGTGGAATGAGGCCAAGTGGTGCACCCAGACTCGGCTTAAATAGTCCAACCTTCAAGATGGAGAAGTGGAAACAAGCAGTTAAGATGCATGATATAGGCATACACATCAGGGAAGACGAGGTATACGACGGTTCACCTGCCGGTTTGATTCCATTCCAGGCCTCCCTATCGATACAACCGATGGTGGAAGTAATAAACCGTTGCTTCTATCTCTACGGCAGTGAAAGTGACGATAGTGGTATCTCAATCTGTAGTAGTGACATCTCGTGGATGGGGTGACAAGCCAATTAGCTAGTGGTGACCGGCTTTCCTAGGAATTTGGCTCGAGGTGGGGAGCGGGGTAGTTGAGATGTCAGTACCTTGTCACATCATTGTACCATTCAAGGGCAATCTGGCCACACCAGTGAAAGGTTGGGGACTTGAGTGTTAAGGACATCACTCCTTCAAATACAAGCCAAGGAGATGAGGAGGACCAGCATGGGTGTCTAACTCATCTACACCATGGCGAGGCCCAGTCCAACTCAAGTTTGAGTCCATCTCGGATTCTAGGAGCAGTTCGGGTAAAATCAACGCCCAGGACATATACGGAGTCCGTTTTTTGACACCACATATGCCCGGAAAAGCTAATTTCCTAAGCTAACCAATGGCTTTTGCTTTTGTGTCAAAATTCATTCAAAGTCAATGGGAAGCATCGAAACAAGTCAGCGTCCAGAATCTGTCACGTACTGCGACACCGTCTTTTGGTTTGTTGGGCTGTGTATGGTAGCTCATTAGGTGGTGTCTCCATCAAGGGTTTGCATGCCCAAGACACTATATTTAGGCCCTGTTTGGCATAGCTCCACTTCATCGGTGAAGTCATTTTTTTGGCCTCGGCTCCACAAACAGATCTGCCGGTGGAGCTAGAGCCGTTTTGATAACCAGTTTGGAAGAACAGCTACGGTAGGAAAACGTATGAAATGACCAAAATCCCCCTTTTCTATCTTCTTCTTCGCTCGACCGTATGCGTGATCTTGTTTAGATATCTTCTTCCCCGGCGGCCACGCTCCCTCCTCCAGCAGCCAGCGTGCCTGTCTCCCTAGCGGCCGGCGCGGTCCTCTCCTCGGTGGCCGCAAGCCCCAACGACCATGCTCGGTGGCCCGCGTGTGCTCCGTTGATTGGGGCAAATATGATATCTCCCACGATGTGGCCCACGAAATGGGAAAGGAGCCGGGTGAAGCCACTTTTTTGGCTCCTTCCCACCCCGAACCTATATGAGAGCACATTTTTAGCGGCTTCACCGGTAGAGCCATTTTATCTTACACCGTTTGATAGAAAAAGGCTCCAAACGACTCATGAAGCCGGTGAAGAAGTCCTGCCAAACGAGGCCATAGCCATCATCACTCTTGTTAGGGTTGAGGGTTTTGTTATGTTCTTGTTTTCCTTGTGAACAGACATTGTTCACTGCACTTGTATCGCCAAGATTAACTATTGTGAATCAGGACCCCTGTTTTTTTTTGCCCAAGAGGACCCCTGTTCTTGATCTTGTTCACCTGTATCGACTGATCCTTTCAAATCAAGACTTAAACCACCTATCAGTTTCTTAAACTTCATATATACTTGCAATTTCAGACTGTGTTCATTCCGTTCTTACTTGTGTTCTCGATTTGCTTACATGAACATTTTCTCGACGAGGTCAATCGCGTTGTGCGTGATTGATAACCAACGGAGCAGTGGTATAACGATTGTAGGGTCCAAATCAAACTTTGTTAGAAGTCTAGATTGTGAACGTCGAGTTCTCAACCTATTGAAGCTATTATACCTATCAAAAGATCAGGTCGCGTCTACACCTCCTACATGACAGTTGCATCAAATGACTTTAGCTGACATGCAACTGCCCTATGTGGCATTTACCATGTTATTTAGGTGTGGTCAGCTTTGCTGTGACCATACAGATTGCAAAACCGCTGTCACAGACTGAACGAAAATGTTTCCATGTTATTGAGAGAATCTAGTGAACGGTAGCCAATGAAGGATTACAAACTCCACCAGATTGAGGCTCCCATCTAAAGGAATGAACTGAGAAACCAACTGAAGAGAGCAGTGCTACGACAATATGCATCTACATATAAAGTTATTAAAACCCAGGAAAAAAAAGAAGTCTAAGGGGAAAAAGAAGAGCTTTACAACTTGCACATGGGAGATCATGCATGACTCCACTAAAAGAACTCCAATTCAAGATAATCTGAACCTTTCTCAGCTGCTGATATAGCCTTCTGGCTTGATGAGGCTACAGAACGAGGGATCTCAACTGGCTTGGGGATATCTGGTGGAGTGGCGCACCTGATTAATGCCCAATTAACACCTTCAAAAAACGGGTGCTGTTTTATTTCTGTGGCTCCACGCTTATATGCTAATCGATGCTGTGGTTCCTTGATGAGCAATCCCCTTATAAGATCCCTTGCAGCAAAACTCACTACAGGTGATTCTGGGAACCTTAAGGGTTGTCCAACTACATTGAACAATGTCGCCCTATTCCCAGAACCTTTGAATGGTGTCTTGCCGAAGAGAAGTTCGTACAGGAATATGCCAAATGTCCACCAGTCTACAGCACTTCCATGCCCCTCACCCTTTATAATTTCAGGTGCCAAGTACTCATGGGTGCCAACAAAAGACATAGACCTTGCATCAGTCGGCTCTGCAACGAGCTCAGGAAGTGGTCTGACCTGATTTGCCAAGTCTGCCTTTGCCTTTTTGTCTTTTTTCTCCTTCTTGGATTTGGAAGAGAAAAAGCGAGGGGAGAAGCATGTGGTTGTCGTGACACAAGAAGGCTGGATACAGGCAGGCTCAATGCACACAGGCTGCACACAGTAAGCTGGGTTGCCCTTTTGGTTATCCCCACTGGGGTCAGAAGATCTGAGAAGAGTAGGGCTCACAGCACATCGGAGGGATAAATCGAAATCCGACAGCATGATATGGCCATCTTCTCTCACAAGAACATTCTCTGGCTTTAAGTCACGGTATATGATACCAAGCATGTGCAGGTATTCCAGAGCAAGAAGCACCTCTGCTACATAAAACCTGCATATGTTTTTATGTCAACATAAGTTCATAGATTTGATCATGGTTTCTTGCAGTTGCAAATGACATGAGAATCAGGGCAGCCTATCATGCAAAATATCAAGAAGCACATGAATAACATTACATAACATCAGAAACTGGTGGACAGATCAATTACTCCAACAGTGTCACAAAAGCCAAGGGCTACAAACTTTCAGAAGTGGCATCATTTAAGAAATAAAAAATATGAAATATGTTCCTTTACAAACATCCACCAGATAGAAGGTAATGACGTAAACAATTGAGCCTGCACACTACTCGTGAAAACCCAGATGCTAACCAGGATCACATGAGTTAAAAGGGGAAATTGAAAGCGCAACACAAGACAAGATGGATAGTAGAGATGTAGTTTGAAAGGTTATTAGAACATAGGTTTGGTAAAGATCTTGGTAAAAACTGAGTACAACCAAAATAGAAACTAGATACATAAATATGTATGCCTAATACAGATGAGATGCATAGCATATGCTAATAAACATACTTATTTACCCAAACAGTAGCAAATAATGAGTGCCTACTACTTTGAGAGTTTATATGTTGTCACTCGTATACTGAAGCTGTTCCATATGGCTGACAATGCAATTTATGTTTTTATTCTATCTATCAATAAATCTTCACCATGACATATGGAAATGTTCCAAGGAAATGTTGTGGCACTATGGCAATCATGCTCATGCTCCAAGGAAATGTTGTGGAAATGGACTCCTAAAACAGAAGGCACAATTTAAACTCCCGAACGAAGATCCCCTCTAGCCAAAAGTCATTTTATAGTATTTTACATTTCATTTTCACAAACCAATCTAAAAATTTGAGTTCATAAATTTTGATTATTAGAGTTCAACTGAACATTTCACCGAAATGCATTGTGCAAATAAAGATATGATAATTAATATGTACCATCTACTGTCAGATTTAATATTCCATGCTGATAGGTATTTTAGGGACTAGATAACTTGATGTTGCACATGGATGCCTTTTTTTTCCTTGGAGTACAACAACAATCATTTCAGAGAGAGAGAGAGAGAGATCAAACTCAGACATGGAACAATCTGAAGGTCCAAAGACCTTTAAGCAAACAATGCTAATTAGAAGCTCTTGTATGATAAGCCCTTACAAGTTCCAATAATCTCATTTAACAACCAAGTCACTGCCACATCAAATGCTAACATGTCACTGACAATGATAAAAATATACATATTCAGTATTTTTGTGCCTTCATTGTACCTTCAGTTTTTATGATTATGATTATGAAATCTAATAATCAGACGGTTTCGTCCTTTAATCAGAATAAACCTTTACAGTATTAGATTTTCAATGGGCAACAGCTCAATTTTAACAGTTCTTCGGTAACCTCAACCATGAAGGCAATCCGAAAACATATCTCCAAAATTAGTAACTGTTAACAAAAAAGATCATCCACATAAAAGAGTGCACCTCCCTAGAAGAAATAATAGGGCAAGGAACAACCATACAGATGACATAACTAAAAACTAATCATTCAGCATTTTAACTGGATATCAGTGAAGTCCAGAACAAATAATGCCAGCTAAATATCAAAACTAGGTATAGGAACTAAAACAGAATTTATAACTTTCATGTAACTGAAGTATTTGTGAGAACAGTGTAAGCCCAGCAGGTTCAATGAGCAAAAATCATGATTGAGGTGATGATGCTGATCATGATGTCATACCTACTAAAGAATACATGGTAAGAACATAAACTTAGATGTCATCCTCTGATTTTTTGGGATGAGATATTAACAGTGAATGGGCTACCAAACTATCCATCACAATGTTTAGCATGTGCCAAATGAATACTTTACCCATAAGGAAGAAGAGTTCCAGAATGAAAGACTTTCCATGCATAGCTCCCAACTAAAAACAGTTGGAAACAGGGAACTTACTTGGCAGCTTGTTCAGGGAAATACTTGCCAGGCTGCTTTTGCCTTAGGGTATGGAGGTCACCTCCAGGGCAGAACTCCATCACCAAGCATGAGAACTTATCTGTCTCAAAGTGAGTGTACAATGTTGGAAGAAAAGGATGATCCAGGCACTGCAATATCTCCTTTTCAGTCTGCGCTCTAAGCAGCTTTTTGCAGCTTGCTAGCGATGCCTTGTCCATGATCTTCATGGCAAAGTAGCATTTAGTGCCACTAAGTTCTGATAAGTATACACTGCCAATATCACCACAGCCAAGCCTCTTGAGTAGCCTGAATTGACCTAGACCTACGGAACCTTCTTTCGTTCGGACCGCCTGAATCGCTTCCCACTTTGAGTCATTTGACTTGTGAGGCTTGCTGACGCTGCTGCAAATGCTACTGCAGGTGCTCTCATCGCTCACATCACTGCCACCACTGGCCCGATAGAGGCTACTCTTGCCACTCTCGATCATGTCAGCAGGTTGACCACTAACCTTGGCACTAACGCTGGCTTTCGATAGGCTGCTGGCCCTGTCACTGCATTTAGCGGACACCAAGCTATCCTTAACACTCCACCGCAGCGAGCTCTTCTCAGCATCTTCACTGTCATCCAGCTTCACAGAACCATCAGCAGAACTGCTCATGTCATTGTTGTTTTCTTTCACCCCACTGGATGCAGCCCCATCACTAGTTGCAATTACAATCGGCAAAGAAGGCACCAGTTTGCTGACTTTCCCAGTCGGTTCTTCAGAGTGTCCCTGAGAAGTCCATGGTGCGGTGGTATCCGCGATGGCTTTATCGCATTTCTTGTCCGCGACTAACTCAGGAACGGAGGTCGAAGCCATCGCAACAAGGACGAAACCGAGGATTCCCTATGGACACCACCACGGCCCTCCTCCCATTGCCGCGGGCAACCAACCAATCCAGAACCGGGGAGCTAAAATCCAATCCTGCCACAGAGATTGTGCGCCGATTAGAATGGGGGAAACGGAGATGGATCGACGAACCGATCGGGAATCAAACGAGAACCCAGAAATGCCCAAATACTAGCCGGATGGATCTGAGAGTGGGAGGGTCCCCCTCACTCGAAGAAATCGGAGGCAGCACAAGGATGAGGAGAGGGCTGCTTACCTACTAGGTGCGGTCTCGGGGGAGGTCGGGGTCGCCGTTCGCCTCCGCCGCCGCCGGTGAGGAAGTGGTTCTGGTTCCCCACGGGGCCCGACCCGAGATGGTGGCACCGCAATGGAGAGGAATGGGAAGGGCGAAATGAACACGAGGAACAAAAAAAAAAGGAATGCATTATGGACGCGATTGAAATATCACGTGCAGCTTTAAGAGCGCAATAAGATAATAATATGGTATTGCTAGGGTCAGGGCGCGTTTATACACGAGCCAACTTGTGCATTAACGAGTCCGACTCGCCCCTCTCCTCGGGACGCCCTAGCGCCACGGATGCCGCCGCCGCCCCTGCCTTCCACCCCGCTGGTTCTCCTCCTTTCTCCTCTCGCATCTCGCCGGAGGGCCAAAGAAGTGGGGATTATCGTTTTTTAATAAGATTTTCTAATACAAATCGAGTCCTTGAGTTATGTCTCTCCATGCCAAGTTCTAGGTATTGGAGATTTATCTCCGCCTCCTCTCCGATGACGGCGAGGGAGCATGCTGAAATCATTTTCACCATGACGGCTCTGTTAATGATGAGGGCAAAAACTATGACGTCAATAACTTCATCAGCTTGACGACATGGAGACTTTTCTTTCCGGATGGCGACATCAAGACGGAGATATCACCACCATGAAATAATTTTCTTCAGTCTCTTATTCGTTTCATTGTAGTTAAATCTGGCCATGACGAAGGACTAGGAGAATAAGTTTAAGATACGTCTTCCTCATTATTCGGTGACAGAAAAGAAGGAAGACACAAGAAAGAAGAAATTTCTCAATTACGCCTGCAGGAATGTTGATGTCGTTCATTAGGCATATGTTCTCAGTTCTTTTGCCGAGTATTTACCTGTGCATTCATCCATACGAAGCGTCGCGTCGTATAGGTTTGGTTTCGAGATTTGGAGCTATTCATAGCGTTGGTACAATTTAGATGGAAATCAGTTTCTGGATATATATATATATATATATATATATATATATATATAGTGTATTCCATAGTGCTTTGACCTACCTCGCTATTATCTAATATAATTCTTCTTTCGTCTAAAAAAAGGTTAGGGCGCATTTGCTACAAAAATTTATACAAATCCTGTAAAAACGTCTACCTTATATAAGAATTCAGAAAAGAAAACTAGCAATTGTGCCAACTAAATGAGGTATTAGAAAATATATAAAGCGCCAACATCGCTGGTTATTGATTTATGAGCTCCATATAAAAGTAATGTCGCCCCTGTTAAGATTAATTAATTAGTGATCAATTAGATTAATCACATCATTAGCGATTGTTAATGGCAGGTTCATGTGGACAAAATGACAAGGGCTCTAGTGACTGTGTCACTGATGCACAACTGTCCCTTCTAGGCTTATGTAAATACTTTTACTGTTCATTAATGAAAGACATCCGTCATTTTCATCCATAAAGTTTCGATTTCACTCAACACATTATCACGCACGCTGAAGAGAAAGAGAAGGAGTTCGTCGGAGAGGTGTTGCCGGTGTCGCTGTTGAAGGAGGATCCGTTGGAGACAAGTTCGCTGGCGTTGCTGCCTCCATTGCAAAGGTACACGATGATGACTCCATTACCTTCCATGAACTCCATGGTGGACAACATCACTGATGCCGTGGAGACCGCCATGATTTGTGGTTACCATGCTGGAGGTCTTCGCCACCACATGTTGCAGGGTGTCGTTCTATGTGCGCTCCGTGACATCCACCACCGGGCCCCTCCTCATTGCTTCCTCGTGATGCGCACTGGAGGAAGGGGCGTGCGCCGTTCGATGCTACGCCTAGAGTCCCCGCTACTGTTTGCCCCCGGCATCTGCCCAGGTCGAGATGGCGAATTAAAGGTAAACCTGCTAATGGGTCGGGGGAAACGGTTTTTTTGGGGGGGTTCTAATATGGGGTGTGTGTGGGTGGGTGGAAACGGGTTCTATTTGCGTGCGGGTCGGGGCGGGTCGGGGTTACAAAGAAGATGGGTTGGGGTAGGTTGGGGTTCCCTAATGCCGCCCGTGCTACGGCTCCCCTAGCGCCTTGATCGGCTTTCCCAATGCCGCCTGGGCCACGGCTCCCCTGGAGCCTCGTCATTGCCTAGGGCCTCATCAGGTGGCGGCGGCGGCGGTAGCGCTAGTGTACGAGCTCTCCTGCCCAAGGACAGCGATGGTGAGACGATGAGGATGCAGTTGGACATTGCGGGCGTCGGGCCATGTCTAAGAAGAAGTGGTCGATTAGGGTTTGGCCTAGGCCATGAATGACGGTGTCGGACCGCTACTCCGAGCCAGATCTAGATAACGTCTTCTTTGCTAGGTCCCGGGCTCGGCTTCTTACCGGATCTCTGACGACGGCGACGACTATGGCTATGGTGGCTTCACCCGGGCGGACATGTGTGATGCCGCCACTCGATGGCATCCTCCCTCCCCTCCTCAGCCTTGTAGCATGGCGCGATGCAGCATGATGAGGTCAACGATGCTACCGCCCTCGGGGGCTACGACTATGGCGCTGCCTTGTCCTACGCCCCCGACATGTCCGCCACCATTGACATTGGGAACTCCGGACTGTGCAGCGGCGGTCACGTACTCACGTGGAACCTCGAGAGGCGGCCGTGAAGCGGAAGGCACTACGACCACAGGGCTGTCACCCCTAATTTCTGAGAGTCCTAGGTGCATCTGTACTTGCACCAGGATCACACACAAGTACGCACATATCAATAGAATTGGTACACAACTAAAGAGAAAGGTTTCGAGCTTTATTGATATCTAAAAAAGGGGTTCTACAACAGTAGCCTTAAGGGCATAGTCATAGGCTTACAGAGCTAGCGGAAAACTACTGTCGCGGAGCAGCACTTATTCATGGTGGTCTCTAGAATGATGATATTCTACAGCGTAGCGATAACCTATTCCACAGGCAAGCTTGAGCGCGCTCGAAACCCTAGCTTCAATGTCATTTCCTACGTTTGGATTCTTCGTATAACTCCTAATCTTCGTGATGCGCTTCCTCGTCGTAGTCGTGGTCTTCCTTAGTGCCGAAGTTTGTGAGTCCACAACAGGTGAGTACTTACGTACTCAGCAAGCCCTAACTATAGTGTGGAAATAGAGGTGTGGTGGTCGTTATAATTAAGGGTTGGATCCTAGTGGAGCATTACCATTCCAACTAGTTCCCCGGTTAGTGTCAAGTCATATTTTACCAGTTTCATTACATATAAAAGTAAAGCTAATCATAGTATCCCATCATAGCATCTGCCCATTCCAAGGACATGGCTATTTGAATAGATTTAAGTAACTCTACATAGGTGTACAAATTTCCCCACATGATAGGCACAATCCCTTCCATGATCAGTGGTTGAAATAGGCCTAACGAGAACCCATACCCGCTTGGGTGCTACCCAAGACTTCCATATAACTCTATCGTGGCTTCTCAGGGGTTGGAAATACACACTAAAACTCGAGAGGATACCTTATCATGCCATCTCATAATCCTGGATGATACCACATCATCCCTTCATATAATCTCAGATGATACCACATCATTCCCAACATAACAGTACCGATGATGCCAAATCATCAAAATAATCAATAATAGTCATGGGCTCGAACATGACCAAAGTTAAGGGGCTTAACGTGGAAGATCACATAGCAACCACGCCAACCGGACCATGGAAGATCCATATCCATGTCGGCTCCTGATATTCTACTGCCATCACCGGCCTCCTAGTAGAAATTATATTTCTATCTAATGGGGTGTGAGATCAAGTCTACCCATATAGACATGTGGCTGTACGTAACATCGCACTAGGTGAGAGGGACTATGAACCGGTCCTTATGAGACTAAGACGAGCATCTCCCCGGGAACCCTATCCAGGCATTCCCGCCAACATAACTTATCCCGCATAAGCTATCCCCGCTCGCCCCCTGTCGGTGTTTAGTTTTAGGTTTACCAAGTTTTAAGTTCCATTAATTATTATCCCTAAATTCATCTATATTGTGGAGCTCATAAATCAACAAGATAACCATTTATCTTAATTCAACATTAATCATTTCACCATAACCGGGCTCATAATCCAAGATAATAATTAAACAAGTTATTCATTTAGTGATAGTTAAGAAAGATGGTAGAGGGAGGGGGAGCTAGGACTTGCCTTCGCTGTTGGCTTCTTCCGGCATGTTCACATAATCGGGATCTTCGCTTTCTCGGTAGTAACCGTCGTCTGTTGGCATAGCTATCATACAAGACTACTGCCAAATGCAAAATAAAAATGGAAAATAAACATAGAACAATTTGGTGGCACTAGGATGGATGCATAGAGCTAGATTTTAGATGAATTTTGGAAGTGGTTTCACCTAAAAAGGAGCTAGGATGTAAAAGTTATGCATTTTATAAGTTTATTCTATAGTTAATTTAACTAGATGGAATTTTATAGGTATTTTTTGGTGCATGAAAATGGGTGTAAGCTATATGATTAAATTCCCTAATGCATCTAGTTTATTTACAATTATTTTGGGAATTTTTCTAAGCTAGGAAAGTGGATTTATAACTCTCTATGTAGACCAATCGGTTGTACCTAGCATTTTCTTTAGTGTACCCAGTGCTGTGTGTGTGGCGTGTGTGTGTCTGACAGGTGGGGTCGAGGTGGTGACGGCGTTAGGCTACAGTCCACGTGACAGAGAGAGAAAGGTAAATAGGGAGGGGGA